TAAACATCATAAGTATTTTTGCCATGCTGTTAAATACTCTATAAACATTCATTATGATGATTACATACTAGTCTATTGTACAGGCATAATATAATTTATTTAACCAATTTTTTGCTGTTGGACTTTTAGATTATTAAGCATAAATTTTTGCCCACATTCTAGATTATTTCTTTAGGACAGATTCCCAGAAGTGGAATTAGAGGATCAGAGGATATAAACATTTTTAAAGCTCCTAATAGATACTGCCAAATTTCTTTTCAGAAAGCTGTTGCCAATTTACACTTTCAACATTGCCAGTATGTTCTTCTACCAATATAGATTTGTATAAAGGATAATAAAATTTAAGTGGAACATACAGTCCTCAAATTATTAATGTAGTTGCAGAGGCATCACAACTATGGCACAAAGGCATGTGGCAAAGGTCATACTGATTATCAGGTATGGTTAGCAATGACTTAGTGTGAGCACATGGAACCGAAGTTTTGCAAGAGTAATGCAATTAGATTTCGGGCTGTCAAATCTAAGACCTGTGTCTGTTTTGTCCATTGCTATATTTAGGCACATATAGCCACTCAATAAACACTTGTTGAGTGAATTAACACAGACTCTTCTTTCAAATAGCATTCACTAACTGAAGGGTTTAAATCAATCCTGGCTTTAGGGAAACATGACTGGCTGATGAGACACTCTCGTAAAGGTCTGCTTAATCTGGGATTCTATTACAACTTGGGAAAATCAGCTTAAATGAAGTTAACACAACAAAGACTGCTTTAGGACATACCTAAAAGGACATGGGTTTGACACTAGTTACAAGGTACAGGCATGCAAAAAAATTTCACTGAGTTTTATCACCTACTACACATTTTAATAGATGACAACATTCAAATGCTGCCCATAATCAAGAGATTTGGAACTACCATTAGTTGACTATATTACTGTTGGTTGCAACTTTGCACCATTTTCTTTTCTTTTTTTTTTTGTCTTTTTGAGACAGGGTCTACTGTGCAGTTCAGGCTGGTCTTGAACTCGCAAGGATCCTCCTGCCTCAGCCTCCCGAGTGCTGGGATTACAGGCATGCGCCACCACGCCTGGCTTGAACCATTTTAAATAATGCTAAAATAGGTTTTGAGATATTACACAGTAATATTGTAGCTAGTAGGTAGTTGTGTAAAAATTTTAATCAAAAGCAGCACAAAACTCATTTTATAGGCCAGAATATGGTCAAGGTGCCAAAGTCAATCAGTTTTTCAGCTCTAGTTTACTTTCTCGGCCTCACAAAGATTCCTTTCAATATTCCACGATTCCTAAATTGTAAATTGCCAGATCAACTTGGCATTAACAATGTTATTGATGGAACATGATCGATCACCTGTCATTTTTATAAGCATTCTGTACATACACTGTATCAGGGGTTGGCAAACTATGGCCCATGTGCTAAACCTGGCCCACCACCTATTTTTCTATGGTCCACAAGCTTACAATATTTGGGGTGGGGGTTGTTCCTTTGTTTTTGAGACAGGGCCTCACTCTGTAGTTCAGACTGGCCTTGAATTCACTATGTAGGCCAGGCTGGCCTCAAACATGGCAATCCTGCCCTAGCCTCCCAAGTGCTGGAATTGCAGTGTACACCACCATGCTTGGCTGTTTTTTATTTTTAAATGGGTAAAGGGAAATTTTTTTTTTTTGGTACCAGGAATCAAACTCAGGACCTCGGGCTTGCCAGGCAGGTGCTTGTGCCGTTGAGCTATATCCCTGGCCCTAAGGGAAAAATTTTTTAAAAATCTTGTGGAAACTATATGAAATTCAAATTCCACCATCCATTTATAAAGTTTTATTGGAACACAGCCATGCTCATATGTTTCCATATTAGCTATGTCTACTTCTGCACTAAAATGTTGAGCAGTTGCAACAGAAACCATATGGCTCACACAGCAGAGAGTGTTCCCTTTACAGAAGTTTGCTAACACCTACACTAAACCCAAGTGGTCCTTAAAGGTGTTGCATTCTCCACAGATTTTTTTTTTTTCTGGATATTAACAGTGGGAGAAGGGTGATGCAGCTTCCACAGTATTGCAAAGATCTGAAAAGGCAGACTCTGGAAACCCAAATGCACAGTAGTTTCCTCAGATAGGATGTAAAAACCTGGTAAATCATGGGACAGCTGGTCCAACTGAAGCAGCAATGGGAGAATGTAGAGAACAACTTACAGTGCAGTTTCTTACTAATTGAGCTACGTGAGACCTTGGTGAGATTCAATCCCAAGCAGCCTAGTGAGATGCTGGTGATGACATCTGCAGAGGATAAGCAAACTGAGCAGTGACTCAGTTCTGAGTAGGGCAGGCAGAACTTTATGATTCACTGAAAGACAGTTCCCTACTAGTACTGCTCTCCTTCACTAGGTGTTCTCAAGTTACTTAGCACCCAGATTTATCCAGGCATCTTCAAAGGCAAATGTGGACTTGACTAACAAATGGATCTGTAAGGTGGGTTTTGGAAAGTAGTCCCCAGGCATACATTCTCCCTAAAAGATCACATTTCCATTCACAGAAAGAGGGAGAATCCAGGACTACAGAATCATTCTCATATTTTCTTAAGTCAAACATTTGGTGAACATTTTATTTTTTTTTCCTCTTCCTGATCATTACTAGAGAAGCAAATAAAGCAAGGTAGGGTGGGTGATAAGGGAGTGAAAGAATTAGAAAAAATCAACAATGAGATGATCATTTCTGGGAGAAGTCTATTCCTTAGACTTCCAGCTGTGGCATATAACATTCCATGTGGATTCTGAACCAGATTATGAATGATGGTGGGGAAGATCAACTTAAAAAGCAAGAGATTCACAGATTGTGTTAAACTTAAAAATTATAGTCAAAGTTTGCAGATGGCCAGCTCTCTTGACATTCCTATGGAGAAGCAGGCTTAATCACCTGCAGTTAGGTAGAGCTTATTCTGCCAGGGAAAATGCAGTTGCTGGGAGAATGAATTTGGACATTAGAGCCCCCAAAACGTTTCATGACTCTTGTTACTAGAGGTAACTAAATTGCTTCCTTGGGAAACTGGTTGCGTGTTGGGAATGAAACTGATGATAGCTTATGTACCTTACAAACAAGAAAACATGATCCCCCAATGTTGCCCCACCTTGCTTCTTGAGGCTAAGAAGGCAACTTGGGGCCAGGGCTGGAGGAGACAATTTCTGCTTCCCTTGGTACCAGCTGAAGTAGGGAGCTGGAAGAGGGATCCAAAAATCAAAGGACAGTTGTAAGTTGAGTAAAAAAATATGACCAAAAGGGAAATTCAAGAATCAGCAGGCTGAAGTGGCCAAAAGCAGCTCTCAGAAATATAATCCAGAACCAGGTAACAAAGCACCAGAGAATCAGAGAAGCAATAGCAAACTGGTGAAAAATAAATTGAGAGCTATCTGAAAGAGCCTAGGACAAGTCTGGAGAGTGGTGGATGGCTAGATCTAAGACTACATTACCAGGAGCTCAAAAGGCCTGAGGAGCAAGATACAGGCCAGGGCAAAACTTGGGTCAGCAATAAAACGGGTCTGGCAGGTGGGCACAGAGGGAATACAAAGAACCCCCCTAGGACTTCATGCTGTAGCTTTGGGTTTAGTGATTCTGAGCAGTTGTCATGTGACATGGATAAGCATTAGGGCAGTAATTTTACTTCCCCCAAATCAGAGATCACTGAATATTCTTTGGGAAGCCTTGATAAGGGGCAGCAGGTTCAAATGGTAGTTCAACCTGACTTTTTGGACATAATCTAAGGAAATAAATTATTTCCATAACAGCCACTTGGGACAATTTGAACTGACATTTCCAATTACCTGCTTCCAACGGCTCTGTGTTCAAACCCTATTTAGATCAACTACGCTTCAGTTACTCACACTCGGACATTGGTCTTGGTTCTATATCATTGCCAAGGTCACTCTACCTCTACTTACAGGACTGCAGTAAAATCTACAAGTTAGTTCTCTCAGGAATCCTAAAATAGGTTGAAGATATTGCCTATAAGTGTTGTGAGATACTGACCTGGGCCCAGGAACATGTAATTCTGCAACCGTTACTACAAGACTCAAGCAAGCATTAATAAATTCAGCAATACAGTTGCAACAGGAAACAGTGAAAGACTTGTTATTGCAATTCTGTGTCCCTTGCGACGAGTCTTTTTTGGGAAACCTAGGATTTCTTTTTTTTTTTTTTTTGGTTTTTCTCCGGTACCGGGAACCGAACTCACGACCTTGTGCTTGCCAGGCAGGCGCTTTGCCGCTGAGCTAAATCCCCAGCCCCTTAGGATTTCTTTTAATGTAGGAAGACTTGGTGGCCCTGAACTGGAATGTCTAGGAACTGCTAAGTAGCTGGAAGTCTATAAACTGCTTTTTGGCTTAAATATTTTCTTACATAATATCTTTTCTTTGTGGGACGAAGTCTAACTTTCATGGTGCCTCAAAACTGACAGGTATTAGGAGAACCTGTAATTTTCTGTAAGTGGTAGAGACAATGAAAGAACACAACGAAAAGTAAACCATATGGAACAAATGAGTATTGGGTCTCTACTGTTAACCAATATTGTTTACTGTCCTAGTCATTAAATGAAGGGAGCTGGGTGTGGTGGCACATGCCTATAATCCCAGCAATCCAGAGGCAGAGGCAGGAGGATTGCTGTGAGTTTGAGGCCAGCTTGGACTACATAAGCAAGTTCAAGGCCAGCCTGCACTACATAGTGAAACCCTGTCTCAAAAACAAAACCACCTCAAAAATAAAAAAATAATAAAGGGAGCTGTTTATGTGTCAAAATCCTTGGGTAAAACAGATACTATCCTGGGGTGGGGGCACACGCCTATAATCCCAACACTCGGAAGGCTGAGAGACAAAGGCTGCTGTGTGTTCAAGGCTACACAGTCAGTTTAAGACAAGCTTGAACTACACAGTGAGACTCTGTCTCAAAACAGACACACAGACAGACAGACACTGGCCAATGCTGTGAAATACTGTTACCTCCTTCCTTCTTGATTTCCATCAGGTACTCTGAGATGTTTCCAGTTTATGCGGTATTATTTGGAAGCCACTTGGGAAAAGCTCCATTCCATAAATTCTGGTAGAAGCAGGAATAGAAGAGACAGTTTGAATATGTAAAGACTGCTTTATGGGGTCTGATGGGACAATTAGACAATCAAGTAAGTGGGTTATTATAAACCTACTCATGGACTCAGGAGAAGCAATTTATGAAATACTGGCAGGAGAGAGGAGAGGAAGCAAATTATCCCAAATTGTTCATCTTTTGCAGCACCACTATCTTCCCCTTTAGAGTTTGCCATTTTAGCCAATATTGTCGTCATTTTCTATTGACAAAGATTTCAAGCTTCAGGCTGTTTCATCTGTCTGGGAAGCTTTCCTTCATCTTGCAGCCCTCTGTCTCACCCTTCCTCAAGGATCCACTCAACAACTTCCTGCATGAAGTCCATCTGCCCTTGGTGATCTCATCAATGTACAGGAGTGTTCTAAAAACCCCAGGTGCTCAAAGCACACTGACACTATGACAGAACTGGTGTCAGTTACTAGAAACAGGCTGCTGTGTGGGAATTGGTACACTGAGTGCAGATTCCCTTAACTTAGGGTCTGAAGTGACCTGGTCTTTCTCCTCATATAACAGTTTTGGCCTGGGTCCCCTGTTTCATCTTTTTCTAGGTTAGATCTTCCTCTTCCAGCAAAGGGGATACCCAAGTGTGTGGGGATCCAAAGTACAGGACTAGAATGAAACAAATCCAGCTCTTTTGTATGTGTGTCTGGCAGCTGTTTTTAATAAGATCCGTATGGGTGGCCAACCTGAGTTCTGAGGGGTTCCTCCACATCATTCTGGTCAGTTCATCCAAGGCCAAGCACTGCTCAATATGTCAGCACACCACTGCCTTTTGTACCATACCTCAGGCCCTAAATGTAAAGCAGGCTGAAACTGTAGGCTTTCTTTTAGGGTCCTTCTCAAAGCACTTTGTTCCCTGGGCACAGACATGCAGATCATCTCCTGAGGCAGAATGCTAAAAGCAGAGGAATAGGACAGCCATAACAAGCTGAGATGCGGGAAGTGAAGAAATCCAAATGAGTTGAGCGAAAGAAATCAAGAACAAGCCAATACTAAAGTTAACAGTCAAAAGCACTTCAAAGTGGTGCAGAATAGTAAGAAAGATGGCCCCATAGCCTATCACAGGATAAGGAGGCAGGCTATGACAGGCAGAGAGAATGGTAGAGAAATGGAACCAAACGAGCAGCAAACGAAGAGGCCTAACCATGAGGTAGCTTCCCGGCTCAGGCTCAGCTACCTCAGGTTACAGTTCACCACGGAGCGAACCAATCCCGAGCCACCCGTGTGGAAAGGCTTGCTGAAGATGAGGCCTGCAGAAGCTCGCTGGCAGGACAGTAGATCTTGGGATGGGATACAGGCTGAGGCATTTCTGCACCAGGTTCTCCCTGCAGATGACTCCATGTTTCAAAACTTGTTGCTTTCTTCCTTAGAAATGGGTCATTTTTTCTAGTTTTCTTTGAAAGGTCAGACTGAAAGTGAAAATTTCCAGGTTTAGACTCATCCATCAAAATACCTGATAGAACTTTAGCAGAAACCTTCCTCATGTTTAAGTTTTCTTTCAGAATGAGTCTAACAGTTTCTTTATCTAAATTTAACTTTTCAGCCATCATCCTCACTGTTAACTGCCTGTTTGAACAAACCAAATTCTTGACCTTCTGGATATTTTCATCTGTCCTGTGGGTGACCGGGCGACCACTTCGTGCATCATCTCGAACATCTTCCCGTCCTTCTTTAAACCTTTTGTGCCAGTCAAAAACTCGAGCCCTTGACATGACTTCATCCCCGTAGGCTTCTTTTAAAAGATGGTGGGTCTCACTTGCAGACTTGTTCAATTTTACGCAAAATTTTATACTAATCCTTTGTTCTAAATAGCGATCACTCATTTTGGCATTAAACAACACCGGAACATTAACAGACCACAATTATGAGGGGAAAGCAAAGGGATCAATCGCTACAGGACTGTAAACATAACTATGTCGTTGTTCTCGCTCCTCTGGAAGCCTCACCAGGAAAGAGTAAGTGCTTTTCTGAGTTTTCGCCCCTTAGCATCTAGTCGAGGTTGGAGAGGCTCAATCTGAGGAGCGAATGGGGCCAAAGAGTAGATGCAAAGCTGGGGAATATTACATCCCCTACAGCCCATGTCTGTGTCCAGCCAGTGCGCATAGTTCCGCCACAGAGTTTGCAAATCAGTCAACAAGATCGTCCTGATTCCGCGGCCCTTAGGAGTTTATGGCGATCACTGCAATACAATTAAGCAAGGAGAGCTGCAACGGTGACGTAAAACCTGCAAGCTCGCCCCAAATCCGTTGATCCCGTGCCCGCCAAACCTACCGGAGCAGCCCAGAACTCGCCTGCTCTAGTCCCGGGAGACCGGCCCGCATGCGCAATTCCCTCCCTGCGAGTTAGGCTGCGCGCAGGCGCACTACGTACGCTGGCGCCGAGTCCCGCCCCCGCCTCGCCACACCCCGGCAGGCCCTCTTCAGTGCGCGTGCCCGCCCGCTTCAAAGTCGGAGGAAAAGAGGGCGGGGAGGAGGGCTGAGGGAAGAGAGGGCACCCCCGGGCGCCAGGGTGCATTGTGGGAAGGAGGCGGCAGCGTCCCGGGCGGGCGGGAGGTGCAGCAGCGGTGGCGGCGGCGGTAAATCCTCCCGGCCGCTCACAGCACTGTGGAGCCGCGTCCCCAGGCCGGCCTCGGACCGC